GAAGGCCCGAAGTCAGATCTTTTCATCCAACCAAATCTTGCAATTTGTATTTCATTTTTGTTTTTTCCCCTTACATTTCTAATCATCCTTCCCCCCCCCCCCCGCCCTCCCATTCGAGGCAAAGAATTCAGGATGATAGTGTGTCTCCATCAAGATATGTAGCTAGGTAGATAGGTAAGGTAGTAGGTAGTAGGTGTGTGTTGTAAATAACAAAACGGGTGATAAAAAAAAGACACAAAAATAGGGTATAAGCTTGTGTGTGTGTAAGAGAGAGAAGGGGGAAAAAAGGCAACAAGAGATATAGACAATGAGAAAAAAAAAGAAAAAAGGACAAATCTTCCTCCTCCCTCCTTCCATCCCTTCCATCCCTTTTTGAAATTCCAAAACCCATAAAGCCAAAAAACTCCGTTGCAATGATAAATCGTGCATGCATGCTAAACAAAATAACAAACCAAAAAATAAAAATAAAAATGGCCCATGCGAAAACCCGCTAGGTATACAAAGTGTAAAAAAAGAAGAGCGGGAAAAAAAGGAAAATGGAAAAAGTCGCCCCCCAAACCATGTCTATCAACATGGCCGTCTCATATCCGACATCATTTTCCCATCACAACACTCGAGTAAACAAGATCCATCTCCTTGGGGAATCTCCTGTCCATCCCGTCAGGCATCCGCCACCGCATCACCACCACGCCTTCTTCCGTCTCAGATTCAAACACCCTCGTGCCTTGAACCTCGACGCCTTCCCGTCCCACTCGGCCAAGCTTGCCCATCCAGTCGCCCAGATCGATCAGTCTTTCCAGCCGGTGATCCATCGCCATGCAGTGAACCTTGGCATCCTCCCAGCTTGTCCCAAGCACCTCCAGCACGCTTCTCGCCACGGCAAATCTGTCGACCAACCCCGGCAGCTCGGATCCACAGCCGGTTGATGAAAGAACGTCCATCGCTTCGAGGATTCCGGTGCTGATGAACGGGGGCGGGGTGATGACTTGTGCCTGCGCCACTGCCACTGCCACCTCGAGGAGTTTGGCAGCATGTTTCATAGACACGCCGATAAAGTCATGGACTGTGGCGGGCTGTAAAGCTCGCAGGTGGACGTGCCGATGGAGCTTGATTCTCGTCAGGTGATGGACGGTGTGTAAAAGTATGAGCGGGCCCTGATCTTCAGGTGAGACCATCTCCAACCTCGCAGGCAGAAACTGGAGCCTTTTCGGCAGAGAAGACTCCCAAGCATCAAGGGTGGCGATAGTTCGACGGTGGAAATCACCAAACCCGGCATCGTAGAGCTCTCCCCGGCGCGAGGCTCTGTTGATAAATGTCATGACATCACCCCACATAGCTGTGATCTGAATCAGATAGGACATGATTCCAGCCCCGGCTGATTCGGATAGCGGACGCAGCATCGGGTCGAAATGGGGCGCTCGGTCGTCCAAGTTCGTAGTATCCGCTGCTGGGAGCCGGAGAAAGATGTCGTCCTTGTTGATGGTGACCGGTCGAGTTGCAAACGTCTCGTTAAGCCGCTCCATCAGGCAACATGACCAAAATATCCGTCTCCGACACTCGGCATATTCTTGCCTCGTCAAACCCCAAAGGGTTACCCTCGAATCGTTTTCTCCCACATGGTCAAGTTCCACGTTCAACTGTAGCCACATCGCTGTAGAAATGGCCCTGCTCAGCATGTCGTTCGCGTCGGTCTGTCTCGAGACAGCGAGGTAGTGCATGGCAAGGGCAAGTCTGGCTTGAACCAGCTGGAGCGACGGCTGCGAGCGTTCTGCGGCGTACCGAGCCACCTGGGCGTACTCGTGCGCAACGCTCCTCGAACCGGCCCGCGAGAGGACGGCACCGATGGCGAGGATGCTATACACGAGCATCAGGTCTTCTGGTGATTTTCTGTGAGCGCTGTTCTGAACCCATGTGTGGAAAGACGGTTTCGGAGGGAGGAAGCGAAGTGCTGCGCTCTCCGTGTGTACAAAGACGGAGGCAATGGTGCTAGTCACAGATTCAGGATCGGACACATACGGGTCTGTTTGCCACGCTCTGCACAAGATGTCCTCGTGGATACGAGGGAGCGTTTCTGACTGCCGCCATGGCAGGGATTGGCGGGAGGTGTCGGGCACTGGTCCCATCGGTGAGCGTACACTGGTCGCTGGGCTGTAGTGATCGTAGCCAATTCGAATACGCTTCGCGGGTGCAGAGGTGGGCATATCGGGGCTCGGGTGTCGGAGCGTCGTTCTGGGCGAGACAGAACCGCTCGAGTGGCTACCCGGTCGTGTGTAGTCGGTAGGGCCTCTGATCAAACCTCCAAGCCTCCGTGTATCCTCCGACTCGGCAGGAGGCGTGGACGGAGAGGAAGCGTTGTGACCACCTCGAGGACTAACCATAGTTTAGCATACGAAACAGGCCCCCATGCACAATAGCAGAAAAAGACAGCAGGCTTCTAGACTCACGCATTCTTGAACTTGCAAACACGGCCGAACTTTTCGCACTGGACACAGCGCGGGTAATCCGGATCGCACTTGATCTTCTTCTCACGGCAGGTGACGCAGGCGATAGCAAGCCTCTTCCGGGGCTTTCCAGCTTTGGTGACTCCCCAGTGAGCATTGACTTGCTCCCCGTCAATCACTGTCTTGCAATGACTCCCATCATCGTAAAAGTAGCACATTCCTTCACCAGGCACCTCGGCAGCTCTGACGAACCGTGGCAGAAAGTGTGTCCCTGTCCAGATCTTGGGTCCCAGTCCATCCTTTGCGGGGGCCCCCTCAGATGGGGCGCTGCTGGTCGGAGTGGCAGGAAGAGTGTGCGATGGTGTCTGTGGTGTTAATTGCTCCCGATATTCCATGTGTCTTCCCTCATCGCGACTCGTCCCTGAAAGGTGAGCAGGGTATCTCTCTGCCGTCGGCCTGTAGGTCGTTTCTCCACGGCTGCCGAGCGAATACTCTTTGCTGGCTTCATGTTGCACCGACCATTGTCCTCCTGAAGTGTACTCGAGTCGGCTATCTGGCCTTGGTTGCTGTTCCTCTCGTGAATGAGGCGAAAGCGGTCCAGGGAAAACCCGGGACAGGGCCGGAATCTGGGGCCGTTCCTGATACCTAGGGTCCAGTACACTTCGCGGCTGTGAAGCAGTGGATGTCGTCGCGGGTGGAAAGTACGATGACGAAGAGAATGGTCTGTCCAAGCTTGGAACTGAGCTAGGAGGTCGATCCAATGGTGAGGTGGCCGGATAGGAGCCAGGGCGCTCGGAAAGAGGAGAGTGAAAGGATCGAATCTGGGTTGGTGGCCCAAAGATGCTGCTCAAAGATGGAAGCTGTTGCCTTGGTGCGTTATGATCGGACCCCGTATCCCTGCGCTCTTCCGGGCCTTTGTTAGACGACGACGACGACGACATGTCGTTTGCCTTGACGGCCGGATCATAGTGTGACATGGGAGGAGAGAGAGGAGCAGGCGGGTTCCAGGTCCTCTCCTCGGACTGTCTTGAACTATAAGAGGCCGAGTCTGGTGTGAGCACCTCGGGTGGGGTGTTTGGGTTGGCCGCACGGAATCGAGGTTCGAGGCAGGATGCAATCCCCATTGAGAGATATGTCGAGGATATGGGCCTTTGTGTAGTTGTATTCTATGACCGTGCCTATGTCCGTGTCATGTCACACTCTCTCAAGTTGGAGGCGTATGGAAGGGAGTGTATGTCCGAGCTGTGACACCCAATACAGTGTGTGTATGTGCGTGTGTGGTGAGGCAGGGTGTTGTAGATGGTGGTTTGTCGCAGCAGTAGGACAAAGAAGAGTCGAAGGGGGCCGGTAGCTAGATATTCACCGGATAAAGGTGTACAGGGGCGGCGCAGTCAACTCACGACCGCCTATTCAGATGGGCACGCCAAGCTCCAGCAGGAGGAGGGCACCGATCCCGGATAATTGAACGAACAATTACTGCGAGGCAGAGGAGGGTAGACCAGATAGGCCAGGTGCAGAAAGCATGTACGAAAGACAGGGTTGTCGTGCGTCCAGGACAGTCTCGTTTCTCACTCTTTGTTGGCCTTGCTCCTGGTGTTGTTGTTGTCGGTCCAGGTCGACTCTTGTCTCCTGTTGCTGCAGCCGGGGAGGGAAGAGGGAGGGTAGGAGTGAACGGACGGGACGCTCGGGGGGCGGGGCTGGTAGGGGGAGACCACCACTATTATGTGCAGCCAAACTAGACTCGATATTGTTTGTATGCAATCTAGTGCAGCGAGCAAGAAACCCAGACGGACGTTCTGTCGGCGGCACTCTAAAGCTAGACGCCGTAGGATACACCGAGGTAAGGGTATGTGGACGGTGGACGGTGGACGAGGGCAAGTTGGAAGGTGCACAGCAAGGTGTGCTTGGGAAGAGTAGCAGAACCAGGGGCCAAGAAGAAAGAAAACAAGAAGATGGGACGGGCGCCCAGTGCTTTGTATGTTGATTGAGAGTACAAAAGTCATACGGAGCTTGGATGGGATTAGTGCAGCCCAGGTCAGCTCGCAGCTCGGGCCGGTGGATGATGGTTTTTGTTCAACATGTCTCCAGGAAGCGCCCACACAGATACCCACCCTGGTGGGCCAGACCACTGGGGGGAGGACCCCGTCTCCAGCAAACCGCTAGCTCCAAGCCCATGGATTTCGGCAGTGCGGCATGGCGTTGCCCTCTCTCACTTCTCTCTCGTTCTGAGATTCTTGTTGCGAGATGAGCAGTGAGACAGTTACCCTGGAATATGCAACGGCGGCGCTCAAAAGGGAAATCAGATGGAATCCACGAAGCTCGACTGAGAGGAAACGACCGTCATCAGCGAGACACTTTTTACATGGGGGCCCTTCCTCCTCCTGTGTGGCTCTCCCCGGTTGAGAGTGAGAGTGAAGGGCCGGAGGGGTGGGTCGATGGTGGAGGATGCGGAGGGGCGTGTGAGGAGACGGGGACGAGAACGGTTGTCTTGTGTTAGTCGGCATGGCAAGGGTGTCCCTCTGGCGCTGGGCGACGCCTGTGCTTGGCTTGGCTTGGCTCTGGTGGTGAGGCATCTCACCAGGCGGCGGCGAAGCGATGTGCGATGATGGATGGCTACCACGAGGCAAAAGAGGGTTCGGGAAGATAAGAAGGAAGGAGTGTGTGATGGACCGGGAGTGCCAGCAAGGGACAGGGACAGGGGCTCCAGGCAGCGCCCGCCGCTGATGGCAGTCGCCAAGAGTTGTCGACAGAGCAGGGGAATGGCCTCACCCAGATGTCTCCTCACAGCGGGGTTTCACTGTCTTGGTGTGGTCTTGGCTCGCCGGACGCTGGTGAAGCACCGAATGCGAGAGTTGGCGAGAGCTGGCGAGCATTGGGGAGAGTTGAGTCTGTAGGTCCGAAGTAGGTATTCAGCAGGAGAACCGTTGGAGACATTCATCAGGACGTACCCCGTACCCTACTGTACCCCCCCTTTCAGCTTGGTCGGCCAGCCGTTCCGCGCGTTGTTCTGGAACTCGTTCTGCCACCGACGCGAGGGTACCACGCGGCGCAGGGCGACCCGCGACTGCGACGCTGTCTTGGGACGGCTCTCGAAGGAAGAGAGAAACACAGGCGAGTGACTTGCCTGAAGGAGAGAGGGCGTGCCCAGCCAACGAGGGTTGCAGTGAGGTACCCGCTTCTGCTGTCTGTCGGCACCGCTGATGGGACATAAGCCTATAATAATAAAAAATACAAAAGGACCAAAAAATGCGTGTCATTCGAATCGCGTAATTGGAATCGGATTTCACAAAATCGGGAAACAAACGGGGCTCCGGGGCTCGCCCGTCCGATCTACGGCCCACGCCGGCACCGCACGCACCAGGGCACCAGCACAGTCCAAGTGCTTGTCTTGTCTTCGCGGGCTTTTGTCGTTGGCGATGCGATGCGATGCCGCAATAAGCAGGAGGTGGACGTGGAGACTGCTGGGAAATTTAGGCGGGGCTCGCTCGGCAGGTGGGTGCGTTGTGGGCCAGGGCATTGACAGCACGGGAAACTGCAAACTGGCAATTCCATCGGCATCATGAATTGCTCCTTCCTCTTTTTTGACTCTGCAGTAGGCTTCTATATTGATGAATCTCTCCATCCTTCCTGTCTTTCTCTTCCGAGCTCTCGTTACCAGAAACTAGAAACCTCGCAAACTTCTATTTAATTAAGCTAGCTACCACCCGCCTCCTGTGTATCAACAAGCGAGAGACCGCAACAATTACTGTTCAGATACAAGATCCTAGCGTTTTTGGCTCAACAGCCGGACGTCAGATCCATGCCGTCTCCATTGCCCGCCATCCCGGGTGAGGATCCCCGTGGCATCACGGTGCCCCGCCTGTGTCATGAGTGCCGGCTTCTTATGATGAACACGATAAGTGCAATTTCACACTACCGCAGTAGTGCACGCTGCAACAAATAAGGCCGTCGCCTATAACCCTGCACAACATGTAATAGCAAGTGCCTGATAAGGACGGGCTCGGCATCCATGTCGTTAGCTCGATCCCAGTCCCCTGGGATTCAAGGGGTGGAACTCTACAGGCACACGCAGCAGCAGCAGCAGCGAGCCGCCTGTGACAGTGTCTGTGAGAGTGTCCCCTTTTCGTCTGATCTCTGTGATCCCCTCGCCTCGACTGCTGTCCCCATCCTCTCATCTCATCTCCTCTCAACCAGGTGGGGGAGACGCACGGAACTTCCTCTTTATTTTTATATGACGCCTGCCGCATGAAGGATCGCTGGTTCGCGCGGGACTTGCGTAGCGCCGATTCCGCAGACGCCATCCCGTTTCGTCCGGTCCGCTCTCGCCAGTCAGCAGACGCCATCTCTCCCCCATCTCCAGTCGCTAGTGGTCTTTTTGGCGACGCCACCGTTGGCTGATACTGGCTGCGGGTGCCGCCAGCAGCAGCAGCAGCAGCAGCAGCAGCATCGTCCGGCTGATTTCGCGATTCCCGACCAGCCCAGCCACTCGTCACTCGTCGACAGGTCGACGTGCAGGAGCTGAGGCGCTGAGGGCAGAATAGAGAGAAACAACTCAGAGTCTCAGACTGTCCAACAGCCGAGCTTGACGCACGTGGAACACGATGGTTCTGCATCACGGCCTCCTGGTTGGCTGGCTCCGCACTTTCCCCCGCCCTCATTTTCTCCGATGCATGTCTTTGAAGACAACAACCGGCCAGACGCTGCCAGACAGAGCAGGCTTCTCCTCGCGGACACGCTCCCGGCTCTCTATCGACCCCACCCGTCAGCCCATTCTTCGTTGCTCAGCGCGGGACACGGTGGATATGCCACACTGTTGGCTCTGCTCGTCGACGTCGACAGCGAGGAGTGTGGTGGTAGGAACTGGCAACCGGCATGCAACATCCTGTGTTCCTGGAGCCGGGCGCGACAATGTGCAGGCCTTGACGAGTCAATATATTGACTTGGTATATTATGCCGCCGCACGGTATCCAGAAGGCCAACGGCGCCAGGCGGGTCCAACCGCCGCACAGCGCCGGCCTGCGAAGGAGATCTGCCGAGGTGACCGTTTCTTCGTCAGAGACGGTAGATTTTCCTTGCTGACCAATGGCAGCGAGCACTTCGTACTGCACTCCTCCGGACACAAGGACATCCATCGACCGAGGTGAGTGAGCCCCTTCCCCCTTTCTTTTGGAAACCGCCGCCACGCAGACAAATTTCCTCGCTGCTGGAAAGGGCCGCCTGCATGAAACTATCTGGACGCTCGGAAGTTGCATTGACTGGCACATGGCAAAAGAGAATTCCTTCTTTCCAAGAATCATTCGATTACCCAGCCCAGAAATAGCGTACCCCCCAAGCTTCGACAAACAAGAAAAGCCGGCTTTGTGTTCCCCTCTCTTTCCCCAAGAGCCGGCAACGTAGCCCGAAATCCCACTCCACTACCGGTACCAACAGTCAGTCACCAAGCGCACCAAAGACGAGAAGGGTGCCAAGCATTCATCAGCATCTCCCAACAGGGTAAGCAGCTCCGCGCTCGATTCGAACCAACGAAATCACCCACTGATGAGGAGGAAGGGGTCAGAGGAGGACCCTGAACCGAACAAAAAGGTAACCCAAGACAAAAAAATAAGGGGGGCTAACAAAACCCATATTCCCAGAATCCGGAACCGAAAACGATCACTTCCAGGCCAGGGACGAAGCACGGACGGTATCTTGTTTAGAACCGGGTGAGGAGAGGCGGAAGACTCATCAATGATCCTCACATTATTATTCCACCAATTCCATCCAAGCCGCGATAAGGTCTCACAGAACCTCACACGTTCAGAAAAATACAACTCACATAGGTACACTCCCATGTGTGTGTCTGTGTGCCCCCGCCCTTTTCTCCTTGCCAATAGTTCGGTTCATAGGGCTGAATCGCTGATATCATCTTTCTGACTCTCCCACACCCACAAATCCCGACAGCCACACACCATCATCACTCAGCAGGGCAAATCTGCGTGGTTTCACTGGGCGCGTCGGCTTGCCTATCTGATCGTGATCGCGTAGAGGGAACGATGGGATTTAAAACTCCCAACAGTTGCAAATGCTGTGAGACGTGAGATATCCATATCACATCTTGCCAGCCTGTTTACATTTCCACCACCCC